AATAATATCCTAATTTCTCCCCATATTACTCATAATCTTATCTCTGTTCGCAAACTCACCCGTGATAATGACTGCACTGTTGAATTTGACGCTCATGGTTTTTCTGTGAAGGATCGTCAGACGGGGACCGTGATGCATCGGTCCAATAATGCAGGCCCTCTCTACCCGGTAGATCATCCAACCTCTGCTCAAGCTCACGTTTCATCCGTAGATCATCAAACCTGGCATCGTCGCCTCGGCCATCCAAGCCCTGCGGTCCTGCGTGGTGTCCCTTTCATTTTTCCTTTATTTAAAAATTATCAACAAACTCTTTGTCATGCATGTCAATTGGGAAAGCATGTGCGCCTCCCATTTTACTCTTCGAGTCGAGTTTCTTATTTTCCCTTTCAACTTCTGCATACAGACTTATGGCAATCACCTGTGCCAAGTGTTACTGGTTTTAAATTTTATATGTTGCTATTAGATGATTTTTCTCATTATTTGTGGGTATTTCCTTTAAGACATAAAAGTGACGCTTTCTCTCACCTAAATTCCTTTGTGGCATATGTGAAAAAAATCATTTTAATACAACCATAAAATCTGTTCAATGTGATAATGGAACTGAATACAGAAATGCGCCTCTTAAAAATATTTTTGACTCCTTGGGTATTCTATTCCGTTTTTCCTGTCCCCATACCAGTCAACAAAACGGACGCGCCGAACGTACCATTCGCACTCTTAATAACACCATCCGCTCGCTCCTCTTTCAGGCTCAACTTCCCCCTGAATTCTGGGTGGAGGCCCTCTATATGGCCGCCCACTTCTTCAACATTCTCCCCACCACTGTATTAAACAACCATACTCCTCACTCTGTTCTCTACAATTCTCCCCCAAACTACTCTCATCTTCGCGTTTTCGGTTGCCTTTGCTACCCGAATATCTCCGCCACCGCACCACACAAACTTGCACCGGGCTCCTCCCGTTGTGTCTTCCTCGGCTACCCCTCGAATCAACGTGGCTATCGATGTCTTGACCTTCAAACGAACAAAATCATTATCTCTCGCCACGTTGTTTTCGATGAGCACACTTTTCCATACGCCCACCCTCTCACCCCTCCCGACCTTCAATTTTTGGACACCACTGATGATGGACCCAACCCCCTAACCATCCCACCTCACCCT